GAAATAAATAAAGTAAAGCAAGTGCAAGGAATTAAATAAAGTAAAACAAGACTTTGTAAATAGAAACATGCTCCAAATCAGAGGCTTTAAAATCAGGTACAACTGGAAATAAATGTGACTGGAAATGAAAATGGTGGCAGGATTAACTTCTACTAAAGTGCTCCAAACTCGATTATAGACTCTATCAATGGTGTGATAACTCTTCGATGTGAAGGGATTATCACTTACAAAATATGACAGTATATGGCTTAAGATTATAACTAAGCTTGGATGAAAAGAAAATGAAAATAGAACCTCCTATTTATAGAAAAATTATACTCCATGGAATTACCGAAGTTCCCCCCAACTCCTTTTGGGCGGGACACCATTTAACAAAGGTGGCGCCCACCATGTGTACGAGGATGGGAAGTTGAGGAGAACGTGGCATTTGAAGGCAGTTAAAACCAATCCATGTCATGTCCTACCCTATGGCGGGCGCCATGCTGGATGCCATGAGTACAATTTGCTTAAAAACTTGATTTCTTACTCTTTTTTTCTTCATTTCTTCAATAGGGGATCTAGATAATCAAAATACCTGAAAACAAAACAAAAACAAGCATAACACAAGAAAATGACAATAAAAGCCCTAACAAACATGTGCAATCTGAGTCAAATATGCAATGTGTTTTAGTGTTATCAAATTCTCCCACACTTTAACCTTTGCTTGTCCTCAAGCAAAAACTCTGTATTGCTCATGAAAGAAAAACAACATCAACAAACGATTTGGGCTAAAAAGGCTTCTAAGTTCAAAATAGGATGTATTTGATAGGTACTAACTGAATGAACCAAGGGTATCGTAACAACACTTTCCGTGGAGGGGCATAAACTTTGTTCCTATACAAATCAATTAGTATCATTCCAGTATACATAGGCCTAGCTTCTCATCTCTTTTGAATCCTCTTTCATTCAGGTGCAATCACATTAAGCCTGTTATCCTTACATACTCATAGTAGAGTGACTGGTTAGTGAATCTGATCTAAAGTATGGAGTTCTGGTACATAAGTTCGTGTAACCCCTTTTTTAGACCCAATTGCAGTTGTGGGGGTGTTGTACCCAAATTTTTGCCCCTAAGATCCCTTCATCATACCATGTTGTTTCACTCACAACAAGATCACACTAGGATTCTTGGTTCCCCTCCCTACATTTAGCTTTACTCCTTTTGAGGAGTTCCCAAGCACCTTGACTTATGTTCCTTTTATGATCATGAATATTGTTTTGATTTCTTCACTTAACTAATGAAATACAATGTTGGCTTGTCTTGCTTGTTATCCATATAGGTAAGGGCAATGAGATTTATCAATTACTCCATGGGTTCATGAGTTTATTTCCATGCCTTAGTCAACATAGCTTGAGATGTTCAAACCTCACCATTGGATTGGTTTTGGAAGAATTGGCATGGCAAAGTTGCTTTGGTTCATCACATTTCAAGGTTATTAGATTTGACTCAAAATTACAAAGGGGTTGATTGGAGAAGTTGTCATGTTTGGACAAGGCCTTGTTCATATTGGTCACAAGAGCATATTTCTCTCAAATTTCAAGATATGGAAGTGGTTTTGGTGGCTATGAGTCCTCATCATCATCCTCAACAACTTCTATTCACAAAGCAAGAATATTGGCACAAGAAGTTTGTTCAAACTTGTCAAAGTTCCTCAAAGCATTCTCTTGATCTAGAAGCTAGGGTTTTGAACTTCAAAGGAGCATATCTTGCTCACATTTTGGTATTTTTGAGTGATTCTAAAGAAATCTTTCTCTTTAAAGGGTTATAAACAAATCACTTCAAAAGTTCCAAGGAGTTTTCATGTGGAAGGAACTTGGTGAAGAAGAAAGATTACAAGTCATCCAGATGAATCCACAATTTTCCATATGTGACTTCAAATGGTCATAACTTGGTCAATTTTTATCACCTTGAGTCCATTATTTTTCCATAATGATCTTGAAGATGTGTACTTTATGCCTTCTTTTATGTTCAAAGTGAGAAAATGGATGGAAGTTGCCTTAAATATGCAAAAGATTATAGGTCATTTCATGATTTTTGGCCAACTTCAACAAGTCATAACTTGGTCACTTTTGGGAGATTTTGAGTGGTTCAAGTTTCCAAATGTAATTCAAGAGATCTACTTCATTCCATCTTTTTTGGTCAAGAGCAAATTCCATGTGGAAGGCCATGTTTAGATGCAAGACATTATAGGTCATTTTTGAAGAAGAATTTGAAATATTTCTAAGTATGGAAAGTCAACCCTTTTTCTTCAACTTTGACTCAATGCAACTTTTAGCTCAAGCATCCATTTGATTCCATTCATTTTCCTTTACAAAGCTTGTAACCTCATCTTTCTAAAGCATCAAGAATCAGGCCCTAAGACCCCTTGAGTTGAAAATGCCATTGGTCAAAAGTTGGCACTTTGAAATTGAAATTCTCACAAAGTTAGAATTTTGAAATCCATAATGTGGCCTCTAATCACAA